ACACACACACACACAAACAGCCATCAGTGGGCTTGGGTTTATCTGTGTGACTGACAAGGGGACTGCAAAGTACCTTTTTCAAGATGTCCAACTGATGTCTTCTCTGGGCAGATTGTGTTGTATAACCAAGAGAAAATAAATAACTATATGTACAGCACTGCAGTGGTACAGGATAAGAGGAACACAACAGAGCAACCATGGGCTGTAATTAGGGAGAGTTTGTGGCATTTCCTCCATTAATCAGTGCTAAATAGATTTGATAAACTGCCTCTACAGGAAATGATGTGTAAAACTACCAGATGTATAGGAACGATCACAACACAAGACCTACTGTCATGGCATTGTTTATCATAGCGTTATAGGAATATCTATCATCTATAATGAGCAGTTGAAAGGAAGAACTTCGGCAACAAAAAAATGAAAGCTACTAATTATTGTACTAAAAAGCTCAAGAAACCTTTGCACCTTGCCCACCTACCTTAATTCAACTATTTTATCATTCTGGTGAGAATAAAAACAACATTTTAAATGGTTTCAGATATTAGAATTAATACTTTTCATACTTTAAAGACTGCAGCACTTCACAAGGATCTGACAATTTGTCATCCAGCTACCTGCTGAAAATTAGATGGTCTGATAATGAGTGCTTGCTATGGTAGTTCTTACCTTTTTCCTCACTAGTGGGTGTGCCACTCTCTGGCTGTTCAAATGATTCCACTGAGGTGCTTCTCTCCCTTTTGACTTTAACCTTGGAACTTGAGCCAGAGGTCAAGCCCTGGCCATTCTTCAGTCCCATGCCCCCTGCCACATTCTGAGCTCCTTTGGCACCCAGGGTCTTGGGGTCGCAGGGTGAGGCCTGTGATTGGCTGCCAGTGCTCCCAGGTTTACCCTGATTGGGCATTTTAGAGTCCATCTGGGAGGCAGTGGAGGGGGACATGACGGGAGGTGAGCGTACCATGGCCTCCGTCTTAGGTTTAGGGCTGAAAGACAAAAGGATCATAGGTATAATTAATCATTTTAATACTGTCCATTAAGAGAAGAACAAAAGACATTTTGTATTTTATCAAAACAGCGTAAAACAAACAATTATATAACAAATTTTGTCTTCCTACATTTTTTGTGACCTTGTTTTCGCTTATGAAACACACAACGGGGGGGAAATGGTGCATATCAAGTAAAAGGCCTGGGGCTTGAAGTTAGCCAGTAATCATGATCTAGAATTGGGCAAAAACCAGACAAGCAGAGGGATACATAGTCAGGCAGCTGGCTTTCGTCTGATATCCCCCAGCTCCCCACTAGAACATGTACCCATGTTCCCCACTATGGTACCCACGAGACAGAAAGGAAAATGTGATTGTTCTTTTTGTCCTTTTTTTCCCCTTTGCAACTGCTAAACATAATCATGGCATCCTGCACTTGGTATGGATGTCCATGTACACAAGTTATGCGCACAGTTAAACCTGAAGGAACAGCCTGTAGAGACACAGGCCATCTACAAATGACTGCTGCTTACTAGTTATGAGAGCAGTTCAGTTCAGGCAAGCAGGACACATCCAACTGGCAGAGAATTCCCTTACCACACCCTAATCTCTTTCTCTGTCTCTCGCTCGCTCACACACACACACACACACACACACACACACACACACACTTGTACAAGTAGCATGAAACAAATGCCAACATGTCCAAAAAGCACAGCCGCAGCCTAGCACACTTTATGTACGTACACACAGACACACAGCTAGTAGAAAAAAAGAAGGCAAAGCCAGAATTTTGGCAGTCCAGACAGCCGTTTCCAGAGGCTCCAGAACCATGAGTCAGCAGGGAAAACTTCCAAGCTCAGTGTACTCCCTGACCCTAGAACAGCTCTGGATCACACATCAAGACCTTTCAGGTAAAATAATGGAGCCAAGAAGCTGATCTTAGATGTGCATTACACCTGACCTACACTTCTCTAAACAGAATGGGTAAGGCCAATGTGACATGCTCAGGTTTGTGTCCACTTAATCACATTGCCAAGACATTGAGACTTGACATTGATCATATACCATGTACACACGCTTGGTAACTTGGTAATCTTGCCATTAGCTGCACAATAGCTAGGTAGTTAACACTGGCACCTTAAAACCTCAAAAGGCCTCAGCCCTTTGTGTGTGGTACGTTCTCTTCAAATTTTCAAATCAGTTTCCACCAAGTGGCAAACTCTGTGAAGCCAACAAGGAAGTGCCAAAAAGTTCAGTTCAGTTCCTCAAATGGCCACTTGAGGCTGTCTACAGAAGTAATCAATCATGGCCCTATATTAAAATGCCCAACTTTACAGCAGAAACAAACATATTGACCGCTCGGTACAAAAAAACGCTCTCTATAGCAAAATTCCCCATTCATTGTATGAGGTGAATTTTTACATGACTCACCCATTTATATTATATTAAGGGTTAAAGTTATGCCTAATTAAGAGCATGGTTGCTTTGAGTGACAGGTGGGTGCCGTAACAGGTGGCTGTAACCAGACTTCATTCAGCCGCCTCAGCTCCACCCACGTTCCACATTTATAATGGCTCTTCATAAACCTATAGGTGACATCTCTGAGACATCGTCCATTCTTATTTATACAGTCATGATTTCCTGCAAGTCCTCTGAATTAAAAAATGTGCATGTTAAGTAATATAAAGCCTTCTGCTACTGATCAAGACACTGGCTTTAGAAATGTTTGCTCAGTCTACTTAAATAGTTGGAATGGGTCACATTTCCCCACAGGGATTAATAAAGTACGGCCAAAAAATGCTGTTTAAGGGCTGCGGCTGAAGTTTTCTGTTGACTTGCTCCTGATCAGCTTTTTCAAAATTCAAAACTCAGCACATTATGCACCTTGCAAATGGTAAGATGTGAGAGTTTCACAACATACCAAATAGTAAGGATGCACTGACCACTCTACAACCAATCACTTCAGCCAAAATACTGCTTTAATTGGCATCTGTACTTGGCCAAATTGCACAAAATGCTTTATTTTTTACAGAAGACGAGTCCATATATTCTTCAAGCACACTCATTGTTTTGTTTTTTTATAAAGAGAGCCGTTTTCTACGCATCATTCTTTTTTAAACAGAGGATTTAGTGTTTGTATTTATTCTCGTTTTGCAACTGTTAATAAACACTGACAACTAATGTTTATTCATTTTTAATATTGTGTGATGATTTTGTTTATTGCTTGAAACAGGTTTATGGACTGGACAGAAGATTGCGCCTCTCCAGTAAAACCTGTTTATATGTTATTGATGTGGGAAGATGCGACTGAGTACTTCAGTCATCAGCTGTTGGTAGAACAGAACAACAATGCCTCGGATAAGAACTAGATTTAGTGTCACGTCCTGGCAACAACAATATTGTGCAGCCATAAAAACAATCTGTTCAACATGGAGCAGTTGAAATTTTACTTCTGCTTGCTGTGCAGTTGTGCAGCTGTTAATAGAAAGTCTGGATTAAATGCATCATTTTAATCAGCATTCAGATCAGTGTTTGGCTGATTAGGTTGTTAAAACAATCATCAGGATCTCACATACATACACAAAGCAATTCTTGCTTATTATTACTACCATCACAGCACTGCATAACTGTTTCACAGCACTAGACCCACAGGTTGTCAGTGTGTGTCAGTCCACTCACCTCTGTGTGTTGGTGGACGGGGAGTTCTTCAGCCTATTGGAGTGCATTGATGGGGCTCCCAGGACTACAGAACAGGGTGGAGTGATGAGCTGGTGAGGACTGCCTGTGTGTGAGAGGGGCGCTTTTGTGCGCACGTTCCTGGAGCCAGGAACAGGATTCCCGATGTTCGAGAGGTTTCCCCGACCGTCCTTGGCCTCCTCTCGCTCTTTCTTCCCTCGCTCCTTCTTGTTGAAATGTGTCGCTGCTGTACCTGCCGCCGCTGGCCTCTCCTCTTGGACCTCCAACATTCTCTCTATGTCCTTATCTGTGTGTGTGTGTGTGTGGTTGTGCAGTGTGTGTGTGTGTGTGTGTGTGTGTGAGAAAGTGTGTAAAAAAATAACAATAGTCCAGGAGTCTTTTCTTGTTCTGTGTGTATTTATGAAATTCCCCCAAGGGGGCTTTCAACGGCCCTTGGGCACACTGTGGAGAGAGAGAGGAGAAAAAAAAAAGACAGTTAAAAAAAAAACTGGAAAACAGGGCCATAGTCTGATCTTTTTAGTATCAATCTACTAGTGTAGGCTTGAAAGGTGGCTGTTGAAAGGTGGTAATTTTCTCTTTTACAATGGCTTTGGTCAGCTTTAATACTTGTCATGGAAAGGATTCCAATAGGTCTCTTTCACAGCAAACATTTTGTCCCAGTAGGAAAAACACAACTGTTAAATAATACAGATATCTGATCAATGCCAACAACTAATGGCACAACTGGAAACAGTGCAATGAACCAAAATATGAGTGTTTGTAACATACTGCCAACTTAACGGCCACCTTTCACCACTTCATTTAGTCTTTCATGGATCTAGACCAGGGGCAGGCCTCTCTCCAGTGGCTCCTGTGGCTTTCACTGAGGGAAATGAAGTTATTTTTTAACATTTTAATTTTTCATATGTAGGTTTAAAGTGATTTTCATTCTCAAATTGTAAAAATCTGTAGCCATTACACACCAAATAAAAAAAAGCTTTAACATTTCGTCAACTAAAATGTGCATCATACGTTACGTCCTGACCTGGCGCCTTTTCCTCTATATTCTGCCAAACATCAACAGAAGTGGCTACTTGTCTTGAGTCTTCCTCGCTAGGCTACAGATGGATTCCAAATCCCCCCAAAAATGACAGTCTCAGAGGACAATAGAGATTTTAATAGTGTGTGGACAGATTTATTTGCTTTCACCACAAACTATGCTTGATCTACAGCAAGAAATTAAAAAGGTTCAAATATGTCTTATGGCTCCAGACAGACTCTTGATAGTAAAGGTTGCTGACTCCTGAGTTAGACTGATAAATTGGCTAAAAAAAAGCTTATTGCGGATATGTCACTTTAGTGTACATGCCAACCCATAATAGCAGAAAATGGCAAACAAAATATGTTTTGTCACCATTACATAGTTTGGCCACCAGAGAGCACCGAAAAGTTTAATTATTGTGGTTATTCTTCAAAAACTGAAATTGAAGGATACTTGTTATGTGTTATGTTGTGTGTTAATGGAAAAAGATGATCGGACATTTAATCTCTCAGATAATATTATTGGTAATGGCCTAAAATGTCCAATGCAAGTCAGGTTACGCACTTGGCCATATTTCGATTAATTGTGCAGCCCTACATTTTGGGTGGGGTATCAAGTTAACTATATAAAGACCAGCACTGCATTGAAACTGTAGCAAACAGTTAAGTGTGGTGGTGGTGGTGGTGGTGGTGGTGGTGGAGTGGGTGAGGTAGTATTGTGGTCCAAACCAACCACTGTGTGTGTTTCTGTTTGTGTGTATGTGTGCGTGTGAGCATTGCATGAGAATCCTGTTAGAGAGAGAGCAGCCCAGTCAGTCAGATTACATTGTCATCCTGAAAATATTTAGGAGCTCTTCCAAAACACTCAACATTGTAACTGGCTCCAGAGCTCCCCTGGGGAGAAGGAGGTGGAGTGTTTGGGGGGTTTAAGGGGAGGGGGGACGTCACTGGGAACCAGACAAATACACCGACTCCTGCTACAGCAGCAGCAGCAGCAACACTCGTCTCTCACTGGTCTATGGGAGAAGTGATTTACAACTATCAGGGCCACGGATCACGACTGCACACGAGCAGAGGCTGGCTTCTCCACAGGGAGGGACAGAAAGGGGGAAGCCTTGTGTATCCAGACTACACTGATTGGACTAACCTTTTAAATATAAAAATACACTTTGTCACATAGAAGTGGAGGTTCTTCAGAAGTGCTGGGCTGATTATTGATTGAACTAGTGATTTGACTCTATATTTATTTACAACAGAACAGCTTGAAAGACCTCTATTCTAAGTGAAATGACATGTTTCTATTTTGTGACACAACACGCTTTGATACATAACTTTGGAAGCGAAGACCGCAACACAATTATACGTGAGTAATTCGGCAGGAGGGAGGTGCAACAAAAAGAAATCAACAGAAATTTCACACAAGAGCTTTTGCTCAAACTACAGACCTATGAGGAACACTCAGTTTCAATTCTGTACCTAAACAAGTACATTTTCTACTGGCGTCACCCCTTCGGATCAGTAGTTGTCTTTAGAGTTGGGCCTTTGTTAGGGCAGAGTTTGGGTTAATGGAAGGAAGACAATGTGTGAGGGAAGGCTAGATGAAAGAGTGGCAAAAAAAAAAAAAAACAGATGCAGTTAGATTTTGCTGTTGACTGCCATTTGCTCATCAAAGTGAAGCACTGGCTTGCATAAGTCACAGTAGAAAAGAGCTGCCAGAAAGCCACTCTGAACCAAAACACTGTCAATAATAACATTCAGGATTTTGGGCTTTTACCAAAGTCAGGGAAGCAAAAATGGCCAGTGTGGGCAAAACTCCTTACAAGACACATTTGAGTAGAGCATATTAAAATGGTACACAGAAATAATAATCATACTTGACATTAATTTGTGTTTGTCCAAACAATAAATGATTTCAGTCTGTAGGAAAACATTTTTTGTGCGCACCTACTAAACAACTAAGCTTGTGTTGAGTGCTACAATACAAGTACTTACAGTTTTCTTGTTTTTTTATAAGACGTAATAAGACATGAGCAAGTGCGGGTGCTAAGTGTACATAAAGGCCAGCTTATGCTTCAAACAAACTAGTTCATACAACAAGTAAAAAAAAAAAAAAAAGGCACGTTTCCTACTGTGGTTGGATATTGATGTGCAGCAAGTCACCCAGCTTCATTGTGGAGCGAGGACAGAGAAGAGCCTGAGATCTACCACAGGGGCCAATGTGAAACATGATGGCCAATCGATTAAATTGGAAAATGTATTCAGTTTGCTAAGGGAGATCTCATTTTACTATATCAAAGAATCGGCTTCCTACCTCATTCAGCTCTAACTAGCATGTCCTCAAGGGGTGTTATCTAAACCTAAATCATACACAAATCTGTGTAATGTGAGTATGTGCACGCATGCAGACACAAACAGCAGGACCTGTCAATCACCTGTTCCCTCCAATCGCACGCTAACGAGACACTAATTGGGGAGCTTGCTGACATGACTGTCATAAGGAATACACTGGCACACATACACAGACATCAAGCGTGCACGCAGCAGTCGACCGCACGCGCACACAACAAAGCAACGAAGAGGTAATCACAGAGATTTCCTTTCCTCTATCTCCAGTAAAGACGCTGAACTGTCTATCATAGCACACACGAGGAGCTGCAGTGCATACAAGTTAATGGGGAAACAGTATAATGAGGCTCCCAAAATGAGCTTTTTGCCTCTGATATAAATATGAGGTTCCACATGAAAAGAGGACAGAAAATAGTTCAATTCAATTAGATTTGGGTTTTCAAATGCGGGTGGCACTAAAAGGGAGCATTTCATTTCATGCTTATGTAACAGTTATCGTACGCTGGCTGAGCACAGGGTAGAGAGTAGACCCTTCCCTGCTACGTCACCCAAATTCCTCTCAAGGGGAGATGGAAGGCTTTATACCACTGGAGCATCCACTGGGATCAACAACAGGACAGGAACCATGACCTTGCTGACAACCTCATCCGCTGGTTGAAATTTTGAACCCAACAATGCTATAAAGACATTATTTTAAAAAAGGGGGGGGAGAGACACTCGAGTGCAAACACACACACACACACACGCTAACTCTCTTCCCTCATCTCAGTCCTGCTGTTGGCTGTAAAAGGGCCTGCTGATGTTTCAGCCTTATTTATGCAAATCCCATTTTGCAGTTCAGTCACAATGGAGTATTGCTCTCTCTTTCTCGCTCTCTAGCTCCCCTGCGCTCTCCGTCTGCTCAGCTTCCATCTCAAGAATTTCTTTAGTCCATTATTTGTTTAGGCTAATATCAGAAACATTATTTCCACCTCTCCTTTTCCCTCCTGCAAGAATAGACAGAAACACAACCATAAGCAAGGGACCTTGCACTGTGTAAAAGCCAGCTCTCTTGAACATAGAAGCCTTCCCAGCCACTTACATGTACCCAATATTCATTCAAATCAAATTACTACATATAAAGTCTCAAGTCAAAGCTTTGCAATACAATTTCAATGAAAATAGGATTTTATAATCTGATGGGTCTGATAAAAAGGTAGAGTCTCAAATTTTGCCTCACATTCATTCTAAGTCAAACTATTAAAAAAAAAAAAAAGAATGGAATAAATCTTAAAGTGAGCCGAGTAACTTTTATTGAAAGCAGCCACAGGTGGTCATTGTGGGATAATGGAACATTTTGTACTTGAAATTCCAAAATTCCTCCCGAGTCAATACTTTAATTGCTGTCGTCAGTGTCTTGAGAACAAGTGTAACAGGACCAAAAGCAGGAAACAACAGTCAAAGTCTTCACGAGATACTGCAGCGTGTTTACTTCCTGTTAACTCCTCTGACATGATGAACTCTGAATTTTACCTGATGAGTGACTGAAACATCACGAATAAAGTGAGTACGAGTGATGGACAAAAAGGTGCCAAATATGTTGGTTCTTCACACAGGTGTTTTTGTTGTTGTTTTGTTTTAAAATCAGATGTACCTGCATATAAGAACGTTGTTGTAATTCCTGTGATAAAACAAACTCAAATGTTTCTTTTTATAGAGAGCAGAGTCATTAAGTGAGTAAAATAACTGACAATAACATCACGCTCATGTTAGCAAACAATGATTGGTTTTACCTTAATCCATTTTTAAATGATCATTGGTAATAAAATAAAAGTGCTACTAAAGTTGTTTATTTTGCATTAATCCTAAACCAACAGTGATAACTTACTTTCTGTAACTATTTCATAATTATTTACTAAAAGGTATATCACTGAAAGGCTAATATGATGACAATATCAATCCAATGTTTATTTTGCAGTCTTAAATCAAGTAAAAGAATTGAATTGAATTAAAAAGCACTGCATTTCCTTGTACATAACCAGTTTCCTTACTGTTCCTACACTTACCTGCCTGGCTGCTAGTGAGACAGTAACTGC